AATTTCCTTTATAATTTCAAATAAACCATATGCGAAAATGTCAAAAGTTGACATATGATATGTCATTCTATTCAGAGTGTCATTTTCTATCGAATAAAGTAAAAAAATACCGAAAAAACTAAATATGCCATCAGTTTGCTTAAATAGAACAAGTAACATATAATTTACGCGAAACTGACGATATGACCACAGACAACAAATTGCAGAGCTTCACAATTCAGCATAAAAAATATTTATTAAAAAAATAAATTAAATATAACTGTAATCAGAAAACCTTAATTTATGTCTGTATTGTAACGGAATTTTAACTTATAATACTCTTTCCAATATAGACATGTCTTATAAACCTTATATTTTTAAATGACGTGTTGAACGATGTGGGGTACCGATTAATTTTGAAGAAAAAAATATTAAACCCTGAACTTAAATTAAAATTTATTTTTAAATTATAAGAAAGTATCGCTTATAATTAAATTAACTATTAAATTTATTTCAATCAATATTTTTTAAGTATAATAAATACAACTTTGTTTGACCATCAAAATCTCAAAAATGGTAGATAACAACCTATTCTCAGACCTATTGAATAGACATATAAAATTTAATCAAAATCGGTCAAGCCGTTACGGAGAAGTATGGTAACAAAAAAATTAAAAAACAACCCCTATTTGAAAGTGAAAATTTAGTGTCGTATGTATTTTTTAATGCCACATCGTAAAAAAACAAAAATTAAAAATTTTGTCCAAAAAAATAAAAAAATTGGGGTGGGCCCCCCTTGTCACTTAAGGGTATAAAAAATAGATAACAGCCTATTCTCAGACCCACTGAATATACATATAAAATTTCATCAAAATCGGTCAAGCCGTTACGGTGAAGTCGGGAGAAGTATGGTAACAAAAAAACAACCCCTATTTGAAAGTGAAAATTTAGTGTTGTATGTATTTTTTATTGCCACATCGTAAAAAAACAAAAATTAAAAATTTTGTCCAAAAAAATAAAAAAAATTGGGGTGGGCCCCCCTTGTCACTTAAGGGTATAAAAAATAGATAACAACCAATTCTCAGACCTACTGCATATACATATTAAATTTCATCAAAATCGGTCAAGCCGTTACGGAGAAGTCGGGAGAAGTATGGTAACAAAAAATTAAAAAAAAACAACCCCTATTTGAACGTGAAAATTTAGTGTTAAATGTATTTTTTAATGCCACATCGTAAAAAAACAAAAATTAAATATTTTACCCAAAAAATAAAAAAAATTGGGGTAGGCCCCCCTTGTCACTTAAGGGTATAAAAAAATAGATAACAACCTATTTTCAGACCTACTGAATATACATATAAAATTTCATCAAAATCGGTCAAGCCGTTACGGAGAAGTACGTAACAAAAAATTAAAAAAAAACCCTATTTGAAAGTGAAAATTTAGTGTTGTATGTATTTTTTAATGCCACATCGTAAAAAAAACAAAAATTAAAAATTTTGTCCAAAAAAATAAAAAAAATTGGGGTGGGCCCCCCTTGTCACTTAAGGGTATAAAAGATAGATAACAACCAATTCTCAGACCTACTGCATATACATATTAAATTTCATCAAAATCGGTCAAGCCGTTACGGAGAAGTCGAGAGAAGTATGGTAACAAAGAATTAAAAAAAAACAACCCCTATTTGAACGTGAAAATTTAGTGTTAAATGTATATTTTAATGCCACATCGTAAAAAACAAAAATTAAATATTTTACCCAAAAATAAAAAAATTGGGGTAGGCCCCCTTGTCACTTAAGGGTATTAAAAATAGATAACAACCTATTTTCAGACCTACTGAATATACATATAAAATTTCATCAAAATCGGTCAAGCCGTTACGGAGAAGTACGTAACAAAAAAAAAAAAACCCTATTTGAAAGTGAAAATTTAGTGTTGTATGTATTTTTAATGCCACATCGAAAAAAAACAAAAATTAAATATTTTACCCAAAAAATAAAAAGAATTGGGGTGGGCCCCCCTTTGTCACTTAAGGGTATAAAAAATAGATAACAACCTATTCTCAGACCTACTGAATATACATATTAAATTTCATCAAAATCGGTCAAGCCGTTCCGGATATTCGGGAGAAGTATGGTAACAAAAAATTAAAAAAAAAACAACCCCTATTTGAATGTGAAAATTTAGTGTTAAATGTATTTTTAATGCCACATCGTAAAAAAACAAAAATTAAATATTTTATCCAAAAAATAAAAAAAATTGGGGTGGGCCCCCCCTTGTCACTTAAGGGTATAAAAAAATAGATAACAAATAATTTCAGACCTACTAAATATACATATAAAATTTCATCAAAATCGGTCAAGCCGTTACGGAGTAGTACGTAACAAAAAAATTAAAAAAAAAACCTATTTGAAAGTGAAAATTTAGTGTTAAATGTATTTTTTAATGCCACATCGTAAAAAACTAAAATTAAATATTTTGTCCAAAAAATAAAAAAAATTGGGGTGGGCCCCTCCTTGCCACTTAAGGGTATAAAAAAATAGATAACAACCTATTTTCAGACCTACTGAATATACATATAAAATTTCATCAAAATCGGTCAAGCCGTTACGGAGAAGTACGTAACAAAAAATTTAAAAAAAACCTATTGGAAAGTGAAAATTTAGTGTTGTATGTATTTTTTAATGCCACATCGTAAAAAAACAAAAATTAAAAATTTTGTCCAAAAAAATTTAAAAAAAATGGGATGGGCCCCCCTTGTCACTTAGGGTACCTATAAAAAATAGATAACAACCTATTCTCAGACCTACTGAATATACATATAAAATTTCATCAAAATCGGTTAAGCCGTTATGGAGGAGTACGGTATCTAAAACTGTGACAAGACAATTTTTTATATGTATTAGATATCAGAAATCTGCCTAAACCTTAGCCCGATCCTGTCGTGTTAAGCCACACCCATAATTCCAAACGCACGTGCTTTCAGCGAAAAAATATAATTTTTAAATTCCTTAGATTAGGGCTTGCAGAGCTTCAGCATTTGCCATAAAATAGCGAGCAATTTGTTACAAAACCATATAAATTATATATCACTGTAATCACAAAACTTCAATCTATATCCCTCCTGTAACAGAATTTTAAATTATATTTTTATTTTCGAGAAAATTTAGTCCAAACATAAGGTTTATTTTGTTGATGTTTGACCATCAAAATCTTAAAAATGAACAAGTTATCTAAAAATGTGCCACACGACGGATTTAGTATAATCCTTTATCTTTAATTTCCTTCTTCATTTGTGTAAAAACACCTAGCCAGTTTTACATAAAACGTTAAATGCCGAACGCTTATTTTGCTACTTTTTCGGACTAGTGAAATGGACTCTTAAGACATAAGGGGAAATCAAATCAGCCTTGTCACGAATTGGCCCATTGGGTTGCGTATCTTCCCAAATCTTTCAATCAACGATAATACAGAGTGCTACAAATTCGAGGTACGAGCATTGCTATCTCGGAAACAGTAATGGATACGAAGATGGTTAAATTGGGGCAAAGTTGCGCCTTGGGATGTTCACCAAGATGCCATTAAAAAAGTTTTAAAAATTTCAAGGATTGCTGAGTTTCTTGGAAAAAGAGGATTTTTTTGAAAATCAATATTATTTTTTCCTGTCGATACTTTTCAGAAAATCAAAAAACTAATTCCACATTCTTATAGCCACTTTATTAGGGCTATCTAATAGTATTTTTAGATTTTCAAATTAGCTGATAATTTGTGAGATACAGAGGCCAACTTAATTTTTTTAAATACGGACCTGCATTTTTTATTCCAGATTTTGAAAGAACTAGGTCTCCTGAGTACAATGATATGCCACACTTAATATTTTTTTTTGTTTCGGACATTTGAACACAATTTATTTACACTCATTTCAAGTCCGGCTCTGTTTTTTTTAATATTTAATTTATTCATCATTGCAATATTGATAAGCTTTCAAACTTAACAATGACGTGGGGTAAAACATTGAATATGGAAAATCAAATGCAATAAAATAGTAAAAAATAATATACAAATGAATACATTACTTCACGACATTTGTAAAAGTGAAATCAATACATCTCAACATTTACAATAAAAAGTACAAAATGCTTAAATGCATAAATAAAATTGAACGAAAAATAAATTTGTGCAATAGGGAGGGTGGTAACCCTTTCGAACATGTAGAGCATTAGAAACTAGTTTGTAGAAGTTGATTTATTTATAATAACTACGATGAATATTACGCATATCAAATTCAAATTCACAATAAAAAAAGTTAAAAAAATAATAGGTATCTTTAAATTGCTGACCTGGATATAATTTATTTGAATCTTCCAATTGGTTCGATTTTTCTTATTCAATGTTAATTAGCGCTGATCAATCTGGTTGCGATGAATATAATCAGATTAAATAATTAAAAAAAACAGAGTCAGACTTGAAATTATTTTAAATAATAATTAAATAGCTTTTTTGTTGTTAAGGTACCCAAAACAAAAAAAAAGGTATAAAGTGTGGCATATCATTGTACTCAGGAGACCGAGTTCTTTCAAAACCGGAAATAAAAAATGCAGGTCCGTATTTAAAAAAATAAAGTTGGCCCCTGTATCTCACAAATTATCAGCTAATTTGAAAATCTAAAAATACTGTCAGATAGCCCTTATAAAGTAGCTATGAGAATGTGCAATTAGTTTTTTGATTTTCTTAAAAGTAACGACAGGAAAAAATAAAATTCATTTTCAAAAAAATCCGTTTTTTCCAAAAAACTCAGCAATCCTTGAAATTTAAAAAAGAATTTGATGACATCTTGGTGAACATCCCAAAGCGCAACTTTACTCCAATTTAACCATGTTCGTATCTTTTACGGTTACCGAGATACCAATGCTCGTACCTCGAATTTGTAGCACCCTGTATATAATTTTTAAACACCGAGCGCTTGCCTTTAAAATGATACTTTGTGACGTTTGGTAGAAAAATTTGATTTTTTGTTCAAGGTCAAAGTCGGTATCAATGCGAACAGTGCGGCAAAAAATTCGTCCACCACAGCTCCTTCGACGTCCATAAGAAAATCCACGCCGGTTTGAGGAACTACCAGTGCAACTTGTGCGAAAAAAAGTTTTACATGAACTCGCACTTGACCAGACACATGCGAGCGACTCACATGAACATTAAGGATTACGAGTGTCCCACGTGCGGCAAAGAGTTCGCCGAAAACTACAACTTAATAGCTCACATGAAACTGCACAAAACCGAGGGAAATCATCTGTATGTGCCGAGCACTGACATGAATATATAGCTATTAAAATTAGTTGAATAAGTCTTAGGTTTAGGAATAAAATGTATATATTGCTTTAAAAGTCAATGGTCTGGTCATTCCAAATTCGTAACGTTTTCAACATGTAAAGGTGCGTATACATATGGCGAGCACGAGCCGAGCCTGCCAAAAGCTCAATTCGTCATATGTGTACGCCTCCCGCGAGCCGCTCACAGTGCGATCGTCGCGATCCACTTCTCGTCGGTTTTGCGACGAACACAAAGGAGCTCGCAGTTATAATTTGGACGGCGTTGTGGCAGGTTCGTCGTTCTGGTCTGATCGGCGAGCATGGAGCCTACATGGTCGGAGGATATTTTGCTTCAATTAGTTGAGTTGTATATGATGCATACTATTTTGTGGAACCCCAAAGACGAAAATTATTTTAAAAAACCAAAAAAATAGATGCCTGGAAGGAAATCGCCACTTTAATAGGCAAACCTGAAGAAATATGCAAGAAAAAAATTATAAGCATGTTGGCAACTTATAGAAGAGAGAGGAAAAAGGTCCGTAGTAGGATCAGGAAAAGGTGTGCTTTCCAAAAGAAGTATGTTTATTTATAGAATGACATTTATATTCAACTACCATCTGAAAAACATATTAGTACAAAAAGTCTGAGTACACCTTTTTTTTCTTGTAGCAACTTTTTTTTACCATAATTAAAAAAACTAATGGTACATTTAAAATCTTCAATACGTTTCTCAGTTGACGTGGGTCTACAATTTTTTTCAAAAAATGTTATAGCCCCTTTTTTTCATGTTTAAAAAAAAGCTGAAAATTTTTTGAGTGGTTTTAGGCAAACATGGTCGGTTCTATTCGAAAGAGGGGCAGAAATTATATACCTCCTGAAACTTACACAACGATTGAACAAAGAATAATCTAAATATACAATTTTAAAACTTTTAAATTTGCTAAACATAATATAAGATTTTGCAAAAAATTGATTACTTTTGCCAAATTGAAACTTTTATATATGGACTATTTTTTGTTCAATCCTTGTGTAATTTTTAGGAGTTTTATAATTTTTGTCTCTCTTTTGAATGGTACCAACCATTTTTATCTAAAATCACTCAAAAAAAATAGTTTTTCAACTTTTTTAAACATAAAAAAAGGTTATAAAATTTGCTTGAAAAAAAAGGGGTATACGGAGACTTTTTGTACTGACTGTAGGTACAGGGTACATTACATATTATTTACATAATATTCGTTTGTACTTTCAATAACATATAATTTAGATTAAAATATTTTAACTTTATTTATCTGAACATCTGAACCAAGTCGCGTCAAAATCTGCACTGACACTGAAAAAAGAATATTTCTTGTGTGCTCGCGAGCCATTTACATTTCATATGGATCGTTATTGGCTCGGACTATGATCTCAATACGGCGCGCTCGGCTCGTGCTCGGCTCGCGTTCTGCTTGCCATATGTATACGTACTTTACGATATGGAAATTAAAAGGACAGTCTGAATTGTTTCCGGGAAACTTAGGTAGCATATTCTGCAGATAAAATATGTAAAAAAGTTTGTATTAATTTACGTCCTTGAATGCTTCATAAGGTGCCCGGTGGCGTAGAGGTACAGGCCCTCGTCTACCAATCTCAAGGTAGTGGGTTCGATTCCCACACCCGGCATTGCATCAGCCGACTATTTTTATTAAAATAAAAATAGTTTGGGTACCTAGGTCGACTCAGCCTTAAAATGAGTACTTGGGATTCACAATCCTGAGGTAATAATAGGCGGTTGAAGCGTAGTGCTAGCCACATTACCTTCCTTGTATACCGAACGGCTCTAGTTTGGCAAGCTGTACCTTGCTACTCCCCAGGCGTTAAACGCTATATACGGGAGCTATTATTATTATTATTAAATGCTTCGTTTCGGAGATACTGGGTGTAGAATAGGGTGGGTCAAAAAAATCGACTATTTTTTTTTCATTTTATACACCGAAAAAAAGGTTTTGATAGACACCTCAAAAAATGTATCCAAGTATAAGCTCTTAAGTTTAATAGGAAGGTCTTTCGCCTTTCAGTTTTCTAGTTTTTCCTTATTATTAGAAAGAAAAATTCATATCTATCTACTATTATTTGTATTATTATACATATGCCACAGCAAAACGCACTCTTCAATATTCATTTTATAATACAATAATACGACTGCACCGCACTGAAATTTGTTTTAAACTAGAATATTATTTTGTACCTAAAAAAAAGTATGCCGAAAGAGTATCTCGATAGTATTCGACTGTAATTCTTTATCCCGTATACAGAGTCTCGCATACAGTATCCTCGTCTGAAAGAGCTCTTAGATCAATACTTTTTATATTAAATTTGTCAAAAAAACGTTATTAACTCGAAATATAATGAATCATTGACTCTTAAGTTAGAAAAAATGCAATCATTTTTTGTTTCAATGTACCCAAACATGCTTAGGACTAAAAAAAACTAGGAAAAAAACTTTAAAACATTTCTTTGTTCATAGAAACTCAAATTTGTACAAATTTTCACGAAGCTCATAAAATAAATTGGAATTATTCTAATGAACCTCTATTTCAGAGTATAAAATGAAAAAAATAGTCGATTTTTTTGACCCATCCTAGTGTGAAAGTTTCATTTTTATTTCAAATTTTCCATATAATTTATGAACTAACGTTGCTTTTGGATTAAAATTGGTGTCTTGGTGTTTTTTGACATGAGAAATTTGATTTCGATGTCAATACGACACCTACTTGTAGGGGGCGCCACCTAAATATTTTTAATTGGTTTGAATAACAATAGTAACTTTTCGTCCGTGCCTGTATAAAACCACTCAGTAAAAAATATATTAATTTGCGCTTTTTTTTACGTCAAAAAGGTCCCTTGGTAAAAATTGCTACGACTAATGGTTCTCGAGATATTTGGAATCGAAATAATTAATACATGCCATCCTTAACAAAAATTGAACATGTTGACTAGATACTACACTGAAATCATAAATTTGAAATGTTTTTCATGTTTATTTTTTGTCATTAATGACATGTATTGATAATTTACATTCCAAATATCTTGAGGTTAGTAGTAGCCATTTTTACCAGAAGATTACCGATTTATTTATCTATCTACAAATTATCCTGCACATAATTTTTTCATCTCTTCACAACCTTGATTTTCCCTAGATCTAGGGAAAATTTCCTAGACTTGGCAACTATGCCTTACTCGTTTAAATATCCCATGGGATTAGTTTGACCAGACCGGTATATTGTGTTTAAGAAAATTGGCCATATATGGAAATTTCTATTCTTGATTAGTCTTCATTTCAGAAAATCCCAATAAATAGGTATATATTAAAGTACTTATACCGGGTGCGTCTCAAAAGTGGCTCACCCCTGTAACTTTTTTATTTTTTCAGATAAAAAAAACGAGATTTGGTATGTTAGTATATGACATAAATTAGGATTGATTGACGTATTCAATTGTTTTTGGTCACTTCCTGTTTCACCGGAAATGACTACAACTTTTGATTTTTAAATGGCACCCTCGTTATTTTTTTACTTTATTCGATAGAAAATGATTTTCTGAATAGAATGACACATCATATGTCAACTTCTGACATTCTCGCTTAATAAAAAAATTGTATTTTAAAATTCAATCTAGAATGCCATGGCTATGTTAAAAACACTTAATCAAGGAGCCTTGGAAAAATAAATTTGATCTTATGTTTTTAGTGTCTTATCCCGACCAGTTATAGAAAATACTCAAATCATATTTTTAATCATATTGCATTTTTTTCAAATTGAACGAGGGTGGCTCATTAGCCTATTTGGAAAAAGCATTTTTTACAAATAATTTGATAACACATAATTGGTATTTCGAGTCAAATTTTCGTTACGAACAGCAAGTTATAATTTCATATAAACCATTTGGAAAACGTCAAAAGTTGACATATGATTTGTCATTCTATTCAGAGTGTTATTTTCTATCGAATAAAGTAAAAAAATACAGGGGTTGCCATTTAAAAATCAAAAGTTGTAGTCATTTCCGGTGAAACAGGAAGTGACCGGAAACAATTGAATACGTCAATCAGTTCTAATTTATGTCATATACTAACATACCAAATCTCATTTTTGTATCTGAAAAAATAAAAAAGTTATAGGGGGTGAGCCACTTTTGAGACGCACCCGGTATTGTTTCATGTATGATGAAGTTTTGAAAATATGTAATTCGCTCAAGACTTAAGTTGCTAAAGCAACTTAAGTTTTAAAAATGGATGAAAAGTAGATATTGTATTTAATGTTATATCTTGCAACCCTGTATTTTATTAATTATTAATAATGCTAGATATATTTCAAGCTTTGAATTTCAAAAGTAAAATACATGATGGCCAATTTTTTTGGGCACACTACAGGATATAATTTTAATGTAATGTAATTAATACATTTAATATTTATAAATAGCTATTATGTTTTAATAGTTAATAATCAGATAATATTTTTAATTAGTATGTAAATTTAGTTATGTCCAAGATAAGTGGATTAGATTAAATGAAATAAAAATTATCAATTTTTTTGTCCTTATGACATGCTAATGTTTCATTATTACTCCTATTTTAGGAATATATAGGATGCTTCATATTTGGTTGTTAAAACAATAATCAAAACAAAAACAATATTTTGTTCCATATTAAGGAGGTTAAAAATATGCAACTTGAATGAAATTGTTGAAATATTTAAAAAAAAAAATAAAAAAAATATTAATTAAAAAAAATTATAAAATATTTAATTTAATTTTTATAAAATTGTAAATTAATTTTTAAATCATAATCTCTACTAATAACATTTTTATTAAACATACTTCCTAATTCGATTCAAAAAACGTTCTTGATAAATTTATTTTTGGGATAGTTTGACTAGTAAGAGCCAAGAGGGGGTGATCATCTTTAATGGTGTTACTATACTTTATTAAATTAATTTTTGACATTGTTAATTTTCTTGTACTGTTTAGAAGTGTTGCATAAAAAAATAAATTATAAAATTACAAATGGCATTATAAAAGGTATAAATGCTTACTTCAGTAAAATATATATACAAGGCTTCAGTTTATTGCCTATAATATAGCAAAAATAAAAAAATCTCATATTTGCCAAAGTTATTCCTTTTTATATACCATAAAACTTAGAGAGAATACCATAATTCTCTTTATTTCTTTCATGCTTCTTTACAGAGATTAATAGTTACTTGTAAACTAAATACACATTATACACGTGTCATATTTTACAGGGTTTTGGTTAAAGCTTGTTAATATGTGTTTTATTACATCATAGAAATAAATGAAGTTAGCTATAAATTCTCAATTGTCAATATGAGATCTGTATTAATCTTGTTTAAATTTATTATAATCAATTTCTGAGAAAATTATAAAAAAATGCCACTTGGATATACTATACAGGGTGATCCATTATTCATTGTAGTAGTCATAATTGAATAGAAGTTATATTTTAACTGAAATTGTATTTAAAGTGAGTTGTTATGTGTTATAATTCAATGGTAATGCTTATACCCTGCTGGTCATCCAATTTATGTGGTCTTGATTTTAATAAGTGTGACAGAAAATAATAGAAATGATCGGTTGACAGAGAGAGAGACAAAATCAAAAGCGGCATACAGTGTTGCCGTTTTTTACGTTTGTAGGAAAATGTGTGTAGAAAAATATAAGCTATTTTAAAAACTTTAATGCATACTTACTACTGAAATGATGATAATATATCTAAACTAAATATAATCTATTACAGCTGTAGTAAAATGAGTAACTAATAGTGAAAAATAAAGTTCCAACCCTAAGTGCAACATTTTTCGTAAATACCTACTTGTGCGGTTTAAAATTTTGATGCAAAATCCGACAATACCGCATAGAAGAAATGTGTCGACCCAATTTTTATCTCTTTTTAATACATGATTTTCTATTAAGCTGTCTACATCAATGTCTTACACGTTATAAAATCCAGACTGCACAGTTTCGATGACCAAATCGGTATAGGTTTTAGGGCATAAACCATTACCCAAACTTATTAAGACCACCAGTGGCGTCACGTGGGTTTTGAAATGGTATTAAAAATATAACAATTTCAAAAAATATCTTTAATACTGGAAGTTTGGCTACTGAAGCATCATTTTAGTTCATGTTGGTAGGGTATAGATAGTAAGTTATCTACTAAAAGGTAAGTAACTTATCTACTAAAAAATCGTCAATTCCCATTCTCTTGAAAGCAGCAAAAAATTAAACAACAAAGTGAAAAAATATCTTTATATTCAAATTTTGTTTTCATTACATTGTGAACATTTTATTTAATTATTGATCTGATTTTGTTATCAGGTTCAAACAAAAAAAAAGAGTAGAATGAAAATCTTGAGATATAATACACATTAATGTTTCTTTATATTTTAAAATATATCCAGTCTTGGTAGGTGTGTAATTATATTCTGCAGAATTAGAGCCGATTTTAAAAATTATCACATAATACATTGCTTTTCATAAAAACACATAATTCAGCAATACAAACTATATCCAAATTCGAACAAAATATATACATACAGGGTGACTTTACACAATTCTTAAAAATCTCGCTAGTCTTGTGTTCTGTGTTTGATTTAAAAGTTGGCACTTTTAGACATACCGACAATAATAGGCGCATTATACCGTATGAAAGAAAAAACGGCGTCCAGTTGGCTTGGAAATAAACATCAATGACTAAATCTAACAATAGATTTTAGTTATACTTTTTCCTTGAATGATTCCTTATACACTTTAAGATATCAAATTCATAAAAAAATATACAATAATATGCAATTTATTACATTGGGTGGTTTTCAAAACATTTTTAAGTTTAAATAATAAGATTATCGTCACTTATTTTTATTTAAAACTACTATTTTTGACTGATTTGACAAATTACGCGAGACGTGCTACGAGTATACTTTAATTCCTAATTATTTTAATATTTTTAGTAATATTTATGTCCAGCATTTATCTAGTTAGTACGTCTTTTAACTAGTGATGGGATCACTCGAGTGAAAAATAGTCGGTCATCCGAGTATTCATATCCTCGGTATGTCTCGAGTATTTTTGTCGATCCTCGAGCATTACTCGGCACGCAACTAACATCAGTTGTAGCGTACCGTCCTCGCTGCTCGCGACGATACAGGCGATTTTACGATTTATGCTGAAACCTTTTATATAGAGGACAGAGGGTAACTGTTTTATCACTTGCTCGCATATCGCTCGCAATAATAGTCGGTTTTCAGAGTAGTAACCTGCATTTTGAACAGAAATACCACAGGAAATACATTACTTATTTTTGTTTTGTTTTGTTTAGATGGGATATATTAATTATAATATTTATTTAAATTATAAAGATTTTTCTCCATACTTTATATTTTAAGATTTATAGTTTTTAACCATTGATATAATAAAATGTTGTTTTTCTGTGTAATAATTCAGAATTGAAACATTTAAAAATTCATAATACGTCAGTTTTCGACTTCCATTTGACAAAACCACAGTTGTTTATTTGGGTTAAGGCAAAGTTAAGGCTTTGGAGATTTTGCTTTATTTGCATTTTTAATTTTTGAATTTACGTGTTTTCTTGTAAAAAACCTTTGCTTGTAGTTGTACGTTGGGAGACTATATTCTGATGAAAGTATAATCGAAATTTAGTGTGATGGAACGTAGATATAAAGTGAATGATTTGCGAAATTTGCCAACAAGAATAACAATATTACTGTATATTTTATTTCATTTTTTTTCAAACAGTTTTTAAAGCGACAGCTGACTCGCTGTAAGCCTTAAGCTCGGATTTAAGTAAAATTTTATTAGTTAATATTTTTCTATTATGAGGGTTCACCAGAGAAAGAGGTTGAAAATCCGAAACAATCATCATTAACAATTTTTTTTTTCGATTATTAGTTAAGCTGTGCCCAAACAATACAGTTGGTAAATTTAATTTTAAAACTGGATATTATGTCGCACAAAACTTACAATATGCACAATATCAAAATACTACTACAATTCATTAGGTACCACAGTTTATTTTCGGTGAAAGTACGCTATTAAAAAGTAAAATAAAATATATTTTTATCTCAATGACCGACCGCCGACAAATAAACAATAAATAACGAGCCCTTTTAAAAAGCCGCACGTATTTCTTAGAATTACTTGGTTTCATTTGGCGTGAAAGTGTGCTGTGAAAGGTTGCCAGATTAGCCTCAAAGTCGGAATTAAAGAAACACAAGCAATTAAAGGAACACAGCCCAATTTAAAGCAAAACTTTTATTTCCCACATGAAGTTATACACGAACATATTAAAAATTATTAAAAAGTGTTTAAAATAATTAGTATTTATTTTTATTACAATATTATTTAAGTCGTTCAAGTACATGGCAACAGTGTGTTAAAAACAGCAAGCAAAATCACTCACACCCAGCGGCGAGTATTATTCATGTTTCGATCGAGATATTATACAGAGAAAATTTTATGACCGAGGATTCCTCGGATGATCATCGGATTATTGGAATCCTCGAGAATCAATACTCGAGGATCAAATTCATCCGATTTTTCCCAACACTACTTTTAACAGTGAAGGGAGATTTTAAAGTCCTCAGAAGGATAAAATGAAAGAAATAAGTATATAATTGAATGCATGATAGTTTCACGATACACTTCATAGTTTCACATAATCCAATAATGACGTCATTTCTAGCATAAAAACTAAAAGGGTATATAAAGTTTACACTTTATATACCCTCCAGAACTCACAAGCCTCCATTGTCTACTGGTAGTAGAAATATTTCTAATTAAATAATAATGACCATATTTGGCCGCACAGTGGCCCCCACCTCTTTGACCGGTAAGTGTTGTATGTTATATGTCATAAAATGCACGAAGTTTATACAGGGTGGTCCGAATTGTATTAGGGAAGTTTCGACAGCATATTCTGCAAACAAAAATAAGTAAAAAAGTTCGTATGAATTTATGTTCTAAAATGCTTCGGATATACAGGTTTCATTTTTATTTCGATTTTTTTCCAAATAATTTCTGAACTAACGTGGATATTTGGATGAAAATTGGTGTCTGGGAGTTTTTGACATGAGAAATTTGATTTTGATGCCCCATATGACTCTTACTTTACTCCTACATACACATTTTTTAATTGGTTGAAGAGTAATAACTTTTCGACCATACCTGTATAAAAACTACCGAGTAAAAAATATACATTTCTGCCGTTTTTTACGCAAAAAAGTATCCTGGTAAAAATCACGACGAGTAATATATGGTTCTCGAGATATTTGGAATCGAAATAATCAATACATGCCATCATTGACAAAAATTAAACATTTTTGACTAGATGATAGTTATTAGTCAAAGGTTCAACAGAAACTGTTTCATCATAATTTATTCTAAAATAAATTATGATTAATAAAAAAATAAAAAGTCCCCCAGATTTATCATTTCATTCAAATAACTATCTAGTCAACATGTTTACTTTTTGTCAATAATGTATTGATATAATTTACATTCCAAATATCTTAAGAACCGTTAATTGTAGCGATTTTTACCAAGCGGCCTTTTATACGTAAAAAACAGCGAAAATGTGTATTTTTTCACTCACTAGTTTTATACAGGTACGGACGAAAAGCTATTACTCTTCAAACCGGTTAAAAAACCGGGTAAGTGGCCAGTCAATTTTATATTATATTTTTTGATATTTTTAAAAAACTGCTTCTCCTATGTTGCCTGAAGAAGCGACAATAAAGTCGCGAAACGTCGCAAAAACATTGTTTCCTTTCGAGTCTTCCCAAACACCCACGATTTTTTTTTCATTTATTTACACAAACTTTTTTACTTATTTCTATAGGTAGAATATGCTGTCGAAATTTTTCGAATGCAATTCGGACCATCCTGTATATTAGAAAAAAGAAAACAATCATGGAGTTTTTCAGAACAGTGGATCATCCCAAATTATAACATTCCCCTCGTTAGTTCGAATTTGGAGGCGCCACAGCATACTCAGTCCACAACAAAAGCTGGCTATAATAGACGCAATCGAAGATCTTCAAGACGGAATAGAGAATAATAACTAGTAGCGCATCCCCCTACCACTACGAGCCCTGCGCACCCAGCTCCGTCGAATTCTGCGCGCTAGACTGCTGCCGCTGCGCGTTAGACTGCGCCTCGACCGCCGCGATCAACCTATTCAAACAGTCCTGGTCCATACGGAAATGGTGCCACTTCTCGTGTATAGTCAGGTCCACGGCGCCCATGCGCTTGTAAAAGTCGCCCGCGGGGTTCCACGACAGCACGTGAAAGTCCATCTTCTTGCTGGGCGACTCGTGCGCCACCTTGGCCACGCCCAGGAACAGCTGGGTGCCGATGCCGTTCTTCCTGTAGGCGGGCTGCACGTACAGGTCCTCCAGGAAGATGGAGCGCCCGAGCCAGGTGGAGTAGGCCGTGTAGTAGAGGGCGTAGCCGATGATGTAGCCGTCGGACAGTTCGGCCACCAGGCAGGTGTAGGCGGGGTTGTCGCAGTCGAAGCCGTCCTTTTCGAAGGTTTCCGCGTTCAGGGTCATCGTGTGTTCGAGTTTCTCGAATTCGGCCAGGGCCTGGAACAGGAAAAGAATGATTGATTTCATTGAAATCTCAAATTATAGTAAGTTAGGAAGGGAGTTTATCACCTTGACCTTACAGATCTATCGTTTGTAGTAAGAGATACTGATCGTCATGGACACTGGTCTGGAATTTAACATGTAATATAGTGATGTAGACAGCTTAATGACAAATCAAATGTATTAAAAACAGATAAAAGTTGGGTTGATACATTTTTTCTGTGCGGTATTGCCGGATAGAAAAATTTCAAACCGCACAAGTAGGCGTTTACGAAAAATTTTGCATCTAGGGTTGGAACTTTATTTTTCACAATTAGTTAATCATTTTGCTACGGCTGTAATAGATTATATTATCTTCATTTCAGTAGTACACAACATGAAAGTTTTTTAAATAGTTATTTTTTCCTATACATGTAAAAACCGGCAACACTGTATGCCGGTTTTTATTTTGTCTCTCTGTCTGTCATCCGGTTATTTATATTTATCTCTGTCATATGCATTAAAATACAGACCACGCAGATGAACTGTCCAGGATGGTATAGAATAGTCTCAAATTGTTACAAAGCTCTTTTATCATTTAAATCGATGAGTCTGTGTTGTGTTACGTTCCAGGTGAAATCGACTGCGTGGTCCAAAACGATATCTATTGGAATTGTGTTTTTTTTAACTGCGAATACGGTCAATATAACAAATCCAATATTGTTGTTCTGCTAGATAAACACACAACACTCACCACAAGCTCACCACATATCTAAATATTCTTTGAAACCTTCTAACATGCCCTCTTTCAGTTAAACTATCTGTAAAATGTTTTTGCTCGAAACAAACCAGGGCAATGTCGAATTATAAATGAAATGTCATGACTAATGCAGATAGTAGTAGTTTATATATCGTATGATTGAAAAAAACGGCGTCAGAGAGGCGATAAAGATAATTTTGGCGAGGTTAATCTCTAAACGTTATATACTAAAAATTGCCATAAAACTCGTCAAAATTAACGCTAATTATATATATTTCTTTCGATTTCGATTTTGTATGTCATTTTAAATGTATGTAAATTGTATCGTCATTTTTAGGATGTCGTCTGTCGAAATCTTCTCTCACTCGTTGGTTGAAATTTTAATTCATGTATTGTTACTTGTGACATTCTTCAGTATAAATAAGCCTGGAGTTCCCTTTATCGTTTATATTAAATATTAGTTGATTTTTTTATAAACTGCAAATGATTATTTTTGTATAGTTTAAGAAAATATTCATAATAAATTTGAATAGTGCTAAAATGATATAAAAGAGTCAATATAGTTGCCATAGAACAATTAACGCAAATATTATGCCTCTACAATAATATGTGACACTAAGAAATAAAAAGAAAAGTTACATAAAATATATGAAAAAAAAATAAGTTGTTATGAAATAATGTGTAAACTAAAGATAGTGACCACCAAATATATTTGACCAGACAAATAATATGCAGAAAATGACTCAATTTTGATATGGCAAGGTCGGCAAACGTACCGTTGCTCAACTTATTTTTGATAAAAAATTATTGTCCAGATATTAGTAGGTAGATACAGCTGGTTCCAAAAAAAACGAATACGACTCTCGACACATTTTATTCGAATATTTGAGCAGTGTATATTTATGTGTCAAGTATTTTGACTTGTTAAGGTTATTGTGACATTGTATAAAACAATTTTGCTTTTGACAAAGTAGCAAATATATTTTTCAGAACGTCAGCATGACATGAGCAGAGAAATGGGGGACTGGTATCATAAAATATACTGCCCGAAATAATAAAAATATGTTTCAAATCGTACTCAGTTTTATTGGAACCAGCTGTACATAATTTAAAATTAATCAGGTATGGTTATTAAACATCCGACAAAACACCTAACGAATCTAATAAATAGAAATTAAAAGTTTATAATATTCATCTTATTTTTAATACTGAGTATCTACTGCCCTTGTTTATATTTATACCGATCTGGTCATCGAAACTGTGTGGTCTGGATTTTAACGTATAAGACAGTGATGTAGACAGCTTAATGGAAAATCAAATGTATTAAAAAGAGATAAAAGTTGGGTTCATACATTTCTTCCATGCGGTATTGCCGGATTTTGCATTAAAATTTCAAATCGCACAAGTAGGTAGGCGTTTACGAAAAATGTTGCATCTAGGTTTGGAACTTTATTTCCAAGAATTAGTTACTCATTTTACTACAGCTGTAATAGATTACATTTAGGTTAGATATATTATCTTCATTTCAGTAGTATACATGAAAGTTTTTAAAACTGTTTATTTTTTTGTATACACATTTTCCTACAAACGTATAAACCGGCAATACTGTATGCCGCTCTTTATTTTGTCTCTCTTTCTCTCAACCGGTCATTTATATTTATCTCTGTCGCGTGCATTAAAATACAGAATACAGACAACGCAAATGAAGTGACCAGACCTCATACTTTGTTTTTTAACCATTTGGTTACCACCGGATATAATAGTTATTTTTTATACAAGACGATAAAATGATGTTTTATAATAATGCAATTTTATCGTCGTGTATAAAACAATATTTTTTTCCATAGCGAGGTACGTTTTAAAAAATATTCAGAAATTATTATTTCAAGGAATTTATTACGAGTAGAAAAAATATTGTGCTGGCTTGGCGTTGGTTTCTATGTAATTTCACAAATAAATAAAGCTGTCTCTCTAGTTGTTAGTTTTGAGTCAATATTTTTTAATTATCTTTCGTGTCGATTGCTGATTCAATTGGAGCCAGAAATGGCTCAAAAAGAAATTAGTAAATTACCAACAGATATTCAGGTTGAGGCGACAAACGCCATATCCAAACTAGCTCCATATAAATCCCGAATAACTTATGAAACGGAATACAAACATTTTCAAAAATAGAAGCAATTAAAAAACGTGCGAGAAGAAATAAAGTTTTTAACCTATCCTCGCTGTTAAAGTATCATTTAATCTACCCTTGCGGTTAAAGTACTATTTTATCTACTATTTTTGATAGATATAAGATATAATTTTAACAGTTGCTATGGAAAAAAAGAATAAAGAATAATGTGGCGTTAAGCTAGAAGCAGCGTTGTCAAGAGGGACAAATAGTCCTCAAACTAAGGGATGTCCAGTCTCTTAAAAATAAGTAAAAATCAATTGTTGGCAATATCTGGTTAAGAGCCAGCTTCTAGAATAAATTTCTAAAAATACGATTGTAAACGTTTAAAAACCGAATGTATCTGGATGAAAAATAATTTATCAGTCTCATTATAAATATTCCTTTCCTAATTACTGTTCATTTCATGCTAATAATTTTTCTCGTTTAATATGCACATTTACATTAATTGTTGGCGATAAATCTTAACGGGGATCTTTGCTTCGAAATGCAAGGTTTCTTCCGATAAGATAGCGCTAATGGAAACACAAAACATAAACAACCATAAATATAAATAAACGATGTTAGTTGTTTTTTTCGTGTCTTCGAGCCTTATCAGTAAATGATTATACAGAAGAGCGCACCTTAATCTTCGTTCAACAAATACCGTCTCGTCGTCATAAATATAATGTAATTAAGCAGGTCACGAAATCATTTTTATTTCCCATTTTATCTGTGATTTATTTTGTTGTCAATATTTGATAAATTTCTGATGAAGGGTAATAACAGGACGCGATTCTATACCACTGAATGAATAGAAATCCAATCAATTAGTGGAAATAAATTTGAATTTGAATCAGAAATCAATATAATAATAACTTATGAAAATGAACGTCTCTGTTGTTATAAATAAGCATTCGTCAAAAAATGAAATACAATTTTTAAGGTGTTGTAGAATGTAGGATGAGTAAGAGGGGGGTTAATCACTGCGACCTTAAAGATCTATTGTGCTCCCCTTCCTTGAGTCATCACACAATCTATAACCTATGTCTATAACCCATCATACCTCTGTTTGTAGAGGGGACATGGTATTTCTCATCCTCCTCTGACAACAGTTCTTCCTCCGAGGGTACACACTCTTCCACGGTTGGAGTTTGGCCCTCCGTTCTCCTTCACAGTCGAGGAGCTTGCATCCGGCTGAGGAACCCGTGAGGTGGAGGCTGGAGGATCTGTCTCAATTTTCTCCACCTCTTTAACTTGGTCTCTCCTTAGACCTGATACCGCCGGAGTTGTTCCGTATCTATAATAGAGGATATGTCCCTCTTTCTCTATTGCCTCCTTGGATTTGATGTCAATTCCTATTATGAGGACCTGACCATGACCCTCCTCCCTCGAGTTGATGACTCGCCAACTCGATGTCCTTACATTGAAGTTCTGACCTTGGATAAGACTCAGCAGGTAGGTGGTGTCTTTCCACTTGCTCCTCGGCAGAAAGACCGTTATTGCCGCCCCTTTAGGGATGGTTTCTCCCTTCACTGCAACCAGTTCCGGCCCTTGCTAATTTTTAAGCTTAGGTGCGATTTCCACCAACCAATTCGCCGATTCTTGAGATACACAATCTATGAGGATCATGCCCACCCGAAAGTGTATCCCCGCAAAACGCAGCTGACCCACATTTTGTAGATCGTTGTGTTGCGATCCGATCGCCACTACTTCTTCCAGTATAGCCTCTTCTAGAGACGTTTGGTGGTCGGTGGTCAGAGCAACCTCTGGGAAATCCTTTGGTGCTACGTTCCTGGTGATACGTCCCTGCTTTCCTCCCGGTGTTGGACGGCTTTCCATCCTAGATTTTTTCTCTCCCTGCCGGAGAAGAGGTGAGAGGTTCTCGCTCCCTCTCTTGCCCTTTGATGGAGACGAATCAGGTCGTTTCCTGGTTTCTTTACTATCCCCTTTTCGGAGGAGTGTTTTCGCTTTTGCTTCCTCTGGAGCAAGTCCTTCGTGGAGCAGTCGGAGGTATCTCCGTGCTTCTGCTCCGCTAAGACCTACTCTCAGAGGATCGTCTAGCCCGCCTGGTTGACCCAGGCCGGGTCAACCTGATGCCCCAAGGTT